AGCAGGGATCTCACTTTTGGGAATGAAACAGCCATCTAACAAGGCACATTACAGATACATAGCACACGCTATCTAAGATAGAAAGGCTCTACTGGCTAGATGATCATGTTATGGGAATGCAGAGAATATTACAGATTGCTTTCTATCACAAAATAAAGTAATGGATATAGGGGATAACATGCCGTGTATGAACTTGCGTATGGGCATTAGTAACCAACTGGTCAATTGTGGTGAAAATATTAATAATGCTGCTTTTTTGCTAGGTGTTCCTTTACCTTTCTTTACCTTTCCTTACCTTTCTTCACAGGGTAAACTGCCTACTAGTGCTTTGGTGCTTATCTACTACATTATGCAAAGGAAAAAAAATAACAACACTCTGTCCTATTAAATTGTAGTGCTACACAGGAAAACAGAGAAAACAGTATCATTTCATGCTCAGATAAATCAGTAACAGGCAATAGATTCAACCTTCCAGAAACACATACTGTAAGTAAGACACATACTGTCAACACAGAAATAAGCAGCTTTTTCCCAGCACACAGATCCCCATGTTTTGGCTGTGGAAGACAAGATTACATATTTACTTTTGAAAGAAGCTTTCATCAATTAAGAGCTGTCATGAAACATCACCACATGACTTAGTAGCGTGTTGGGGTACTGAAACAAGCTGGCTCTTAATGTAGCTCCAGTGACTGAGGAGTTCACAGAAGTTCAGGAGCTGCATGTACCTCTACATGTGTCTTTAATAATGCCTGAAGCAAAGCAACCCGTTGCTTCCTAAAAGTATTACATAAACCAATATATATCATGTAATGTAGTCTTGTAAAACTTTTGGTCCCTGCATGACTTCTGTGTTTTGAGTTTATGGATTCTTCAGTACTCTGCAGTCACTCTGACATCACTGTTTGTTTTTCTTATCAACTTCGTTGTGAAAATATGCACAGTTCAATCAGATGGTTTGTAGTGTCCACAGAACAGAAGCTTGAAAATAGTGAAGCCTGATCAGGATTTAAGATTCCTAAATTTTTCCTGCTGGTATAACACCTGAAACTGGTTGATTCAGGTTGTTGTTTTAATTCAAACTAGCCTATGAACTGAGTGGGACTAATCTCCCCATACAGCTTGGGGTAACCTCCTTTTTGGGCTTCAGATTATGAGTTTGGTTAAAAAGAAAAAAAAACAAAAAAATCTTTATTTTCTGCTACATGAGAGCTATTCATGAGAGTATTACTTAGAAGTTACTTAAAGATGCTTGACATCACTGAGTGAGGATGAGGGATGAAATATGTACCCAAGTATTACACATGCACACAAATAAAAATACTAATATGCTCATCCCAGCAGCATTAATCTAAAAGAAATATATATCACCCTTTTCCTCCATCATTTCAAATCAAAAGTCAGGATCACTATCTTATGCAATAGGTGAAAGAGTTATTTACAATTTTATTCCTACCACACCCTTAGGAAGTCCATCAAGCAGCTAAGTGCTCCTCCAGTGAAAGTGCTCTGCCTAGCAGCAGCTCCACTATTGATGCTCGTGAACCTGACATCAGGTTTTGTTTTATATTTACTCACTACTTTCCAACATTACATTTCACATAGCCACACTGAATAAAGGCTAGAGGTATCTAAAAGCTTAGGCCAGTATGACATGGTCAGCCATTGGCATAAACAATATCTTGGTGACAATCTGATCCCCCCCCCAACAACCTTATGCACTCTCAGTGAGGATAAGAAATTTCTGCAGAACTACAGCTCCTTCTGTGATATTTTTCTGAGACAAGAAGTGAATTCCTCCATAGTACTGTATTCATTCCTGCTATGACAAAATCAAAGAAATACCAGCAATGGCTGCCTGCAGAGCATTTTACCCTGCCAGAAACTAGACTGAAATTTTATTAATGGTATAAATTGGCATTCAATGGACATAAGACAAGCTGACCGGCTGCAGAAGCTACAGAGGCACTCTCAGGTTTAGACTTTCCAGAAATCATTCCTGTTTCATCCAGGTTACTTGCCAAGCAGCAAGGTCTCTCTGACAAGCAGGTATTGTCCTCTAGCACTCTCCTACCAAGCAGAAGTGACAGTGTTAGAAATTATGAGGTGATGATCTTGCAAATGTGAAAGATCTCCTTTTCACAAATGCTAGGAAAATAGTCATCCTTTCTACCCTACATGCAGACAAGCTGGAATTGAGCAACCGGAACCAGCAATTGCTGGAGGAAAACCAAGTGGAATATGCTTAAAGTAATGGACACACAGTCTTTTTACACAAAGTATTATCGGATTTGTAGTAGTCACCTTTCGCCTGCCAGAAGTGACAGGCTTAACCCTACGGTCAGTATTAATGCGAGGGGCATGGTGAAGTACACTCTAATGAGTATTACACTCATCTCATTTGCAGGACCCAGGCAGATCAAACAAGGACCATTTTCTACTATTGCAGTAACATCTGTTCTTAAAAGCCCAGTGCTGCTCTCCAGCCACAGACATTGATATCCATAAACATCATCATCTTCAGTGAAAGAATTTGTACAATTTTCCCAAGGGGGATTTTAAAGATTTAACACTGCTCTCTTCAACTACTGTGTAAAAGTACACTTTGTAATAGTGTGTTCTATTGAACTTGTTCCATTTAAATCAGAATTGTAATCAAAATAATCTAAGTAAAGCCACTTCTTCTACTGCTTCAACATTTACTTCCTATCTGGAGTCACATGTGCTGTATGTGCTGAACAAAAAACGATTTGTATTACTTACTGATATGTAACAGAGATGTAATTAATTTATGCTGTCTATCAGTGGGCCTTTTAGAGTGATACTGTAAATCACACATACTGCTTCAGGCAGGGTTGTTGTGTTTCTGTTCCTACTGCTGTAGGAAGATGCAGGAATCAGAAAAGAACAGATGAAACTGAGACCAAGCAGATGCATGAGATGCAGTAGTTGCATGCTGCTCTCCAATGTCCCACATAAAGAAGTTGAAGGAGGAACCAATGCTAAACTACAACCTATCAAAAAATCATGAACTGACCCAATTTTTTCCAGAGCTGGATAAAGATGCAGCAGGCATAATACTAACATGAATGCCAACCTGCAGTACATACATGAGAGATGCCAATATTCAAAATGGAAAAGTCAGACTCCATGACACTATCTTGGAAGTAATTGGGTGACAAGTACTTACAGGGTTAGTCACCATGCATTTGTGCAACATTCTTCTCATGCCAAAATGGGCCTTATATTAAATAAAAGAGTAGCTCCAGTAAAACAACAGATCTCAGTTGTTTTAAGAGAGAAAGCACCAAAGATTTCACCTCAAGGTGAGACTATACTAAGACGATTTAAAAATTACTGCGTTCAAATGCAGGGAAAAATCCTACTTTCAGCATTAAGTAGTTTTCTTGCAGGATCTTTGCACACCTTAAATATGTTCACATATTAGAGAACAAATTTAGAACTGCATGGATATACCACGATGCAATTCTGGAAAATAAGTTTGATTTCAAAAGCTTTCTTGTTCTACAGTAACAGTCACGTATTTATCAAACTAACCATTGTGTCATTTTAAGACTTTGGCAGATCTATACAAATGTTAAGAAAGAAAACTTTGATTTACTTCAGACTCTCAGCCTGGAATATTGCTTACTTGGTATGAATGGAAACGTCAATCAATAAAAAAACTGAAACAACTTGCCTTCTGAAGTCCTCAATCTCAAACTATATGCTTATTTGATAGATTAAAGTCACACAATTCCAGATAGGAGCAGACAGCCTTCCTCGCCTGATTATAAAGATCAACTTCCAGCTTTCCATAAACTATCGTGTTTTATTCTTTCACAGATGCACAGAAAATATTTGAAATGCAAAGAAGCATCCTCCAAATCACACTTTAACCTACCGTACTGCATGTATATTTAGGAATGTTTATTTAAATGAACTCAGTTCAGGAATTGCTCCGATTTAAAAGACTTAAAGACTGCTATAATCTATGTTCTTACTTCAGTCTATCTGTATCTGAAATACAGAACATTTGGGTCCAGAGTATTATTATCTATCCATCTTCTTCCAAAGTACATGCAATTTTCTTGATTTTAACATCTCCTATCACCACCTGTCTTGTCTCATTTAATTATTCTCACACTGGGGAAAAAAGCATCGAATCGTTCAGATGATATAGCATCTTTAAACAGTACAAGATTATCTAGTTGCCTGTTTCATTACTTGCTACAACTGGGTAAGAAAAATACACTATTTTAGGAAAAAAAGTTTGTCTGCATAAGCAAATATCTTAACATTCTACTAAATGTCAGAAAAAAATAACCTCTAATATTTATCATGACAAACATAAGGTTTTAAAAGCAAACAAAGCATTCCAAACCATGCATTCTCCTTCTAACATCTAGTCTACACTACAATAAAATCAGAGCACAATGAAACCAATGACGGTTTTCATAATTGGCAAGAACATGGCCAACTACAGGTGCCATTAATGAAAAGTAGTATCCTCTACTAGTGTAGGAAATGTGGTTCTCTTTCCAGAGAAGCTCCATCCTAGCTGAGGAAGAGACCCTAAGCTCATAGAAGCAGGATGATTACCCAAGTGGTAAAACACATATGTTTGGTTTTGCTTTTTGCCAATATTGAGATTGAACAAAATCTTTGCTGATAATTAACAGAAACAAACGATCAAATAGGAACTTATCAATGACATGCACTTTCTAAGAAGTGAAGAGCATCACTTCTTAGAACTTAACTGAGAGTTTTAACCAGTACAAAATCCTGGAAATGAAAATATTCACCATTATGCAGAATACAAGCTTAAAACTTGTCGTAGCAATTATTCAGCCAAACGACTGCTAAGCTTACCAAATTTCAGAGGGAAAGCAGTTCTTTGGCTTGGATGCCTTCCCTTCAAGTGATCATGAGGTTTGATCAGTCTTTCTGAACCAAAGCATGTTCCCGTACTTTAAGCAGAATTCACTTATGCAACATACCTGGAAAACTGCTCTTGTAGGCCACGCATCTGAGCTCTGTTACGCTCTGACTCCAGTGTTACTTCCCGTAATCGCTTTTCACTCTCAAGTCTTAAATGTCTTTCTTCCTCCAACTCATGTATCAGTTTCTCACGCTGAAAGACCATAAAAGTTAATAAATTACTCTATAGGTAAAACACTTTTAAGATAAATTTTATATTTTATTTGGAAATGATCATCAAACAATCAACTATTCAGGTTTGTTGTTTTTGTTTTTTTTTTAATGCCATTAATACACAAAATAACAGGGTAGAGATGGAGATTCTGTCAGAATGTCACCATATATACACCAATATTGAGCTATTTCTCCTTAGCTCAGACTCACAGAAGTCAGCATAACAGCTATTTAGGAACAAACACCCTCCCCTCCTTTGAAGAGCTTTTTCTTCACCTCCATTCAAAATAATTTTCACAAATAATATTGAGATCTGTGATCTTGCTCGATAATAGATACAGGAAGCCTGAAGCAGTCATGAAGGCAACCTGCCACCCAGCCCTTAATGACTCAGTCCCAAGAAAAGAGTAGGAGATGATTCTGCAGTGCTGCTTTTGTTGTTTTGGATGAGGAGCAAGAATCTTATCAGTAGGACAGAGTCTATTTGAAACTATTAAGTGAAATCCTACCACAAAGAATCTGTTTGTAAAAACCTGCAATCCAAATAAAAACCTAGGAGAGGGATGAAAACATCATTAATTTTACTAATAGTTCTCAAAAGCAAATAGAAAATGCTTGTTGCTAATACTGAAATGATAGGATCAAAATGCTCAACCCACAGCACACGGGGCTATCTGGGTGTATCTACATATGTTATGGATGACTGGGTTTTTTTTTAAACTTCAGATCCAAATACAAAAAATAGATATAAAAGTAATGATTTCAAAATCCTATTTTAAAAGTAGGTGCATGCGAATTAGGAAGAGTAGGGAAAAGTTATAAAAATGCTAATGGAATTTTAAAAAAAAATGTATATACAGCCTTTTCCACGTGACCCTACTGCTACACAGAAATTACATTAAATTAAATTTAACTAAATTAAATTTATCCTTGTGCATTTAAATGAGATAACGAGTCAATAAAAAAAAAAAAAACAAATAAGCAATTAACATGGTACTACATTACAGTCCCCCAGCAAAGGGGTTCCAAATTGTTTGTATAGAAGAAGTTAAGCCCCTGTAAAGCTATAGTGCGTACACTATCTACAAACATAGAAAAAGTTCTGTATGCTTAGTGCATTGCCACTGGCAGCCTATCAGATGGAGTTCTCTTGCTGACCTAAATTTTCATGACACATCTGCAAAAATTTATCTAGAAATTACACATACAATTTCATTAGAAAATAACAAAGATGTCATAGTGTTAAGCCATTAAATGAGAGAGACAGACTATTTGTACAAATCTTACAGTTATAAATCTAACTGGATAATAATTTATAAAGCAGTAACCAAGGGACCAAGAATATGAACGTTACCAAGTGGAAAAAGGATCTAAAAGGCAGTGATAAATAAGTACATGCCACAGAGGGAGGCTGCAAAGGATCAAATGAAATATCTATATACTTGTAGAAAAACATGGGGAATTACTCAGAAAAGAAGAGGGCTTCTGCCTAGTAAGTCACATATAATATCTATACACATATAATAATTCCCTGGAAAATGGGAAATTGCAAAACTAGAAACCCATTGCTGGAAAACAAATACACTCTTCTAACTGAATTATTTAATAACTGTTATGCAAGCACATCCTGGCAGGTGCTGAGTGATCCTTTGCTTCTGTCAAAATGAAAAGAGCAGAGCACTCAGCATCAAGCAGAAGATGCACAGCACCTTCAGTAGAGAATCCATCCCAGGAATGATAACTCACACTAATGATATGGGAAGATTATTCAATGCAGTTAGAATTTGTCCAGATTTCATCTTATCAACACCGGCTTCAAGATCATATTGTGTGCTGGATATTGCCAGTATCTTCTTTTATAAACACACATGACTGCTGCTTAGGAGACATCTAGAGCATCCAGAGCCAGAGAACAGTACGGAAAATAAGGTAGAAGAAAGATATAGTTACTTAGCAGTTCTTAAGACAAGCTTACAAGCCTACAGAAAGTGGGCTGAAATGTGAATAAGCAATTGTCCCTCTGGTAACTGATATGCTACCCTGGAGGAAAAGCATGAACTGCTATGAATCCAAGCTCCCAGGTAACTCAAGCACCAGGCTGTGCCTGAGCTTCCTGCTGCAGTAACAGCTTAACTAAGGTAACACACTAAACAATTACTCTCATCCAACATAATTACCACTGCAATGATCTTACTTTGATACAGCAGCTAACTCTCCGCCTGCTGCACTGACCATGCTCTGCTTCTCAAATAAACCTTTTTATTTTATGTACAAAGCCAAATCTCCACAGGGGAGACTACAGAGTGATACACCTGTGAATATCTGGGGGTATTTCACAACATTTCTTACCAAGACATGACCCTTCAAAAAGAGATTAATATCCTTTCTTCCACCTCACTGCCAGGATTTTTTGTTGGTTGCACACCAATACTGCCTGCAGAATGACTATGCTGTAGCTATGTTATGGCCTCATTGCCACTAACCACAAAACCACATTTTCTAGTAGAACATGGAATATATATAGTAGAAGTTCACAGATCCAAGCTTTTCCCTCCAGGTCAAAGAGCAGTGTAAGCTATTTCTGGGTCTCATTTCCCTCTTGCTGGTAGGTCACAGAATGCTGTTGCCACCAGTTACTCCTCATATTCATGTGGGAAAGTGTGCAATATTGTAATGGACAAAAGATCCGCACATGCATGTGATTTTTATTTTGGAAGAAGAGAAAAAAGACCTAGGAATTATCTTAAGAAAAGTATCCATAAAAGAACAATAACATTACAGAAATGAAATGCTTAAGTATTGGGAACTTCTGGAATGAAGTCCAGTCTTCATATCACAACACACTATTAGTTACATAAGCACTTTGCTGTACAAAGCTTATGCTTCTGCCATGGTATGCTCATGGGTACACAAACAGAAAGCAGTGATCATTACTACAACAAAAATACTATTTTTATTCAAACCCAGAAAAGCCATCGTGAGGAGGCACAAAAGAGAAACTCCAGCACAGAAAGGTCAGAGATTTTTTCATCTCAGTAGCAGATGACATCCCTGAATTCTCCAGAAATTTTGCACTGTCATAATGCCCTCTACAAGCTCCTCCATGCAAAACCCACTTTATTCTTGTGTAAGATAAAGGTGTGTGAAAACACATGAAGTGGCCAGGAGTGGTTCCATGTTTTACACTGACTAAAAGCTTACTGGAAACGACTACAATTAGCATGCAACAGGAAGAACACATGACATAAAAAAGAATGCACTGTGAAATGCATCACTACATTTTAACATCATTGCTATCTCCAAATGAAGCTGTACGTGTTTCACTTGCCAATTCTTCATTAGCTGTAGCTTCTTCTCTCCGTGAGCTCCATTCAATCTTTCCCACTTCCTCTCCTCACAGTTAACCTTTCTCCTCTCAGAAGCACAACTCTTGCTTTACTCTCCCTTTCCCTCTCCAGACAGACTCTCTTCCATCACATTTCCCTATCAAGTCTCTGATAGCTTTCCAAATACACAAAAAATGTGATTTTTTCATCCCAGTAGCAGACAACGTCTCTGAATTAATGTGAACAAACTAGAGTGAAAGTCAGGGTTAGCAAATTCCACCCATACTTTTGTGTTAAGTACTGGAATATTTTAACACTTGAACAAATACTGTTTGCAATTACTTATTCATGAGCATTTGAGCAATCAAGTTTCACCAGCTACTCATCATGCTCATGAGCAAATGTCTGCATGCCAGTGAGCTCCTTTTTGTGTAAGTGTAGAAACGCTCATGTCAAAATGTTTCATTTCTCATCCAGCCAGGGACATGTACTGCACATTAATTCATCTTCTCAAATGTAAGCAAGAAGTCAAATTTGAGCTATACATGATCAAAACAAAACGCGTGAGAACTATTTATGTCATGTTACACTGAACTGAAAATGTCTCTTCTTTGGAGCTCCTGAATGACCCCTCAAGCTAAAAAATGCAAAAGTAACAAAAAATAAAGGCATACATCATGAGTGGCAGCCACAAAGGCAAAGCCAAGCATCCAGCCATAGGATTTTGCTGTGCCTGCCTAACATCTCTCCTGCATCACAATTTAAACTACAGACGCTGGCAAGGGAAATATTCCAGGGACTCAGCAGGCACACAAGGCACATACTGCATGTGTTACTGCTATTCAGAAGGGAGACAGCCCAACAGCTGCACAGAAACTGCTCCCTCCTTGTTTTGTTTAGCTTATGTTTGAACCTTGTGACAAGCCATTTTTACAAACAGTCGGGTGGAACAGGACTGCTGAGTTCAAATACAAAAGATCTTTCTTACTCAACGTATCCTAAGTACTGTGGTAGTAATTATGTCAACATCAGAGAGCAATTTTGTCAAAAACGGGTCTACACAAAAACATTTAACCCAGGCTTAATGTTGCTCTAAATCAGGCTATTAACCTGCACATTAATTTTTTAACAACTATTTTTAAGCATTTGCTAAAGAGGGCCACAAATTCTGCATAATTAATTGATTTTGAACAGATACTTTGTAATGAATTCAAAAAAGGGGGAGAAAGTAATAAAGCTTTTTTGTTTGGTTACAATTTATAGAATCGTTAAGGTTGGGACAGACCACTAAGATCAACTAGTCCAGCCATCAAGCACTGAAGCAACAAGTAATTGCTAACCTAAAGCAAGTACTTCAGTAAGCATTAATGTAACTTCTGATGCTATACTTTTAGTACCTCACAGTAACAGTAACAATTTAATCATAGCCCGGTCTGGAGCACACCATCCTACGGCCTGACCATCAGCTGGCTGCAGAAGCAGGTAACAAAACCAAAATCAAGCAAACAAACAGCAACTATGAGAAACACTCTGACATTCTGCAAATCAGTTTGTGCAGCACATAAGTGGTCTGTGGTCAGTAGGCACATTCATAGTACTCAAACCCATATTCTCTTGCAATACTGGGGTTTATCTGTACCAGATCAATAGAGTA